CTCCCTCACTCTCCCCCGTGAGCGTTCTGGGGAGACTGACGGTCCGTGACAGGATCGTGAGCCCTGTAAGTGAGTGTCCAGTCAGTGTGGCACCTTCACAGAGTGCCTTCGGCCACCATTGCATTGAAATCCTGGTGTTGACCTAAAAGGTGATTTGTCTTCAAAAATGTTCACAATTGGGCCGGCCAAGTGGCTCAGTTGGTTAAGAGCTCGCTCAAGACTGCAAGCTCTGAGCAACAGGATTGCCGGTTCGATTCCCTGCTCAAGCTGAGCTGCCAGCAGCTGCCAGCAGGTGGCAGGAGGGCTCAGTAAAACAAACAAACAGAAATGTTCAGAAGCATAGGGAGTTACTCTATTTTTTAAGGACTAAGGCCACAGCAATTATAGGTTAAATAGCAGTGTAAAAATGTTATAGAACTATAGGACAAGTATTTTTTAAAAGTCTAGAGGATGGTTACCAGACTTGAAAAGCACATAACTGGGAGGTTGAAATGCACGGTGCGTCTCCTGTCTCCCCCTGCATTGCAGCCCCCCACACCTGCCGGAGGAGTCGGCTCTCGGGTTTGTGTTCCATAGTCCAGTCCGAGACTGTAGGGCGGTGGAGATGTGGACCGCTGCACACCCTCGCTGCCGGGGAGAGACGTTTCAGTTACATGCAGGAGACTTCACAGGGTGGAGTCTTGGGGACCTTTGGGCCTAGCGGGCAGGTTTGTGGCGTTTCTCCGTTACCATGTGTAGAGCCGTCGTGAAGGAGAGATTAGCAGACAGCTTCTGCTCTAGCTCTTCCTTTGCTTCCTGAGCTCAGAGCCCAGTGCTGACCGTTCCAGTGAGAAAGCCAGCCTTTTCCCTCAGGAATCGCCAAACCCAGTTCCCTCTTCTGCTTTTCTTGCTCTGCAGGCATTTAAGGTTATTTCAGTGTAATTCAGACAAACCAAATTACTGCAGATGTTTCTGCTATAGTTCAAAGTGCATGCCAGGTTAAAACCTCGGAAGTGATGTGGTTCCCCAGAGAATGGGCCAAACTCTGGGATTTTCCAGAACACACAGGAAAATGTGTTCATTTTTATCTTAAGAAGATCTCAGGTCACACAAGCCCCTGGCTGCAGGTTGGAAGGAACAGGGAGCTGTAACTGTGTGTGTAGGGGGGATAACCTGGATTAAAAGTGGAAACGGTGCCATCTGAGTATTTAGATGTGGGTAGAGATGTTCCCAGACCACCAAATGCAGTCTCTGTGAATGTCGGCATTTTCTAGCCTCTGAGCGCGGCCCTCTTACCTGCCTGTGTTAGAAGAAGGCGTGTTGAGGTCTGTTAAGTCACCTGTCCCCACTCTCCAGTGACCTGCTCCCAGTTCCAACTTCACACCCCTTTACCTGCCCCTGCTTAGAGAAGGTACTTGTTGAATACCCTTCTTTCCTGTGTCCTTCCCACAGTGTCAGGGAAACCTCCCTTAGGGAAGGGAGATTCCCATCAGCTAACCTGATTTGTTTCACTTCTGGCCAGTCAGCGTCACACACAGAGATTAAGTTTCATGCCCAGGCTGTGTGCCGGAGACAGGGTGAGCGCTGCACTCTGGGGACATGTAAGTCTTGTTCTGTGACCAGGTCGTGCAGTCAGCGAAACTCACCGCATGCAAGTCGCTTGCTCGCTTTCAAAGCAGAAGCTTTTGTCTTTTCATTAACTTCGTATATTGTGCTTTGGAGCAGACTTACCTTGCTGGCCTGGGAGACGGAGGGAGTGGTGCTGGCCTTGAACAGAGCAGGGCTCAGGGGCCGCCCTTCCCTCCTGGAGTGCAGCCGAGAAACTGGTGACCAGGCGGCATTTCTCTTGGAACATGTGTCCAAAACTTCACTTCCCCGGTCTTAACAAGAAAGGGAATAACATAAAATGTCCCTGGTGGTTTTTTTTTTTTTTTTTTTTTTTTTTT